CAGGTACCCTTGCAGGAGATGCCTGGAGCCTGGCTACATGGCCTGTGTACCCTGATGCCCTGTGTTCTTCATGACAGGCCAGCAAGACGGAGGGGAATGGCTCCGACAGCTTCATGCACTCCATGGACCACAGCTGGAGCAGCAAGTGGAGACCATTCAGAACCTGGTGGACTCGTACATGGCCATTGTCAACAAAAACATGCAGGACCTCATGCCCAGACCATCATCCACCTCATGACGTGCATGTGCCGCCTCATGGGAGTAGGGGGTTCCTGTAGCACTGGAGACCCAGGTGGCCATGTTGGCCTGGGGGAGATGCCGACCAGCCTTATGGGACCAGCCTCAGAAAGGGAGGCACGGTCCAGACCAGAGTTGTCCCACAGAAATACAATGTGGGATTACAGTGGCTCATGCCTGTAATCCCAGCACTTTGGGAGGCCAAGGTGGGAGGATTGCTTCAGCCCAGGAGTTCAAGACCAGCTTGGGCAACATAATGAAACCTCATCTCCACACAAAAATTTAAAAAACTAGCTGGGCTTGGTGATGGCAGGTGCATGTAGTCCTAGCTACTCGACAGGCTGACGTTGGAGGATCACTTTGAGCCCAGGTGGTTGACGCTGCAGTGAGCGGTGATCTCGCCCACTGTACTCCAGCCTGGCGACAAAGGGAGATCCTAGCTCCAAAAAATTTTTTAAAAACTGAGTAGACAGATGTCCTGGTGGCATGGTAGATCCTGAGTCCCCTCCCAGATCTGTGACCTTAGACAGGTGACTTTTCCTCTGGACCTCAGTGTCCTCATCTGAGTGAGAAAAGGGCGGTGGGGAGGCAGACCTTCGAAGGAGTGTAAGCAGTGTAGAAGCAGTGTCTGAAAAGCTGTACTCGGGGTTCCAAGTCCAGTAAACAGTCCCAGCAGAGCCCGGCGGGGCGGCCAGGGCAGCACAGGCATCAGGTTCCAACCTCCTTCCCTCTTTGCCCACTCTCAGACCAACGAGTTCATCTTCTCGGAGCTGCTGGCCAACCTGTACTCCCGTGGGAACCAGAACAGCTGATGGAGGAGTCCTCAGAGCAGGCACAGCGGTGCAAAGAGATGCTGCGCATGCACCACGTGCTGAGGGAGGCGCCCAGCATCATCGATGACATTAACACGACCACCGTCAGCACGCCCACGGGGTTTGTAGATGACTCCTAGCTGCAGGTGCAGAGCGTCCCGGCCGGACGCAGGTACCACAGCCGGCTCCCACGACCCCAAAGCCCCCTAGCCCGGGCTACAGGAGAAGTACCAGACCAGGCAGTGGCGCGCCCCTTCCCCAGAGTGGCTACCACTTGAAGCAAGAGGCGGAGCTTAGAGAGGGCGGGGCTTGCCGTGGAGCTCTGCCTGCCGGGCGGGGTGGAGCTGGGACTTTGGTGCCGCTGGCGGCGGGGCTTAAGCTCCGGCGACCGCCTCGGGCAGGCAGGGAGGATCTTGCATGCATGGGCCTGGCTGGCACTGGGCTGGGGCGGGGCCTCAGGGTGGGCGGGGCCACTCATCATTCCTCTCTCCTTTCCTCGCTCCCTGTCGCCCGCAGGTCGCCCGAGTCCAGCCCCACGACGCAGCGCGGAGCCCCCGCCGTGCCCCCAGCCTCTGCCTGCTGGGTCCGCCCTAGGGGAAGCGCCTCTTGTACCCTCCAGGCCGGGGGCTTCCCCTGACCCCTTCCGCCCTCCCCCAGCAGGTGCCCTCGCGCCCTGCCCGGGGTCCCCAGGTGAGTAAGGGGTGAATACGGTGGGAGAGGCCGCCGGACGGGCATGGCCGGGAGGGAAATGGGGCTGGATTCTAGTGCATCGGACCTTGTGGCAGAACCGGCCGTCTCCATCCCAGGCATTCCGACCGTGTGTGCTGGAGCCCTGAGTGGTCGAGGGCTGACGGAGCCTGCCCCCAAAGGAGTACTGAGTCCCGGAGGTGGTCGTTTTTAGGGAGGGGGCTATGGGGCTCCTCTCACCTGCCCGCTTCTTTCCAGCACTTGCATGGCGCTTCCCTCCATCTTCACTCTTGGTGGCCACCCTACACGTTGCATTCCTCCTTCTTTCTTCTTCTGTCTGTGCTCCATCCTCCATTCCCTCCAACTCCTCTCCCAGCCCCTGGGGAGCCTACCTCAGGTGAAAGAGTCTGAACCCCGATCTGCTCTGGTTGTGTGGATTTCCTTCAGCTACCCTGATGTCCCCACTTGCAAGTCCTGACTCCTTTGAGCCATTCCAAGGGGTGTCCGGCCACTGGCCCACAGGAGCAGAGACCAGGCTGTGACTGTGCGACCATCAAGGTGTGTGATGTGTGGGGGGGAGCTTGCAACAAGTGTAAGAATGGCACCCAGGCCTGGGCTAGGACAGGAGCCTGGGGGCCATGGGCAGTCTGATGTTTTCCTCCGCCCCCACCCCCGCCCCACCCGACCTGGTCTAAATCAATGTGGTAGTGGTGGCTGCAGCGGCAGGGACAGGAGTATCTGAAGCCTGCTTCACTACCAAATATCTAAGGAAAAGCGTTCTGCATCTTTTGGCTTGGCCTTGTTGACCCATGGCCCTCTTTCAAGGACATTCACTCTAATTCCCAGTGTGCCCTGTTTCCACTGGCCACGTTCTCTAAGGAAGAACAATAGCATCTGTTTTTGTCTCCAAATGACTGTAGGGTAAGCGCCCATAAACCAAAATGAGGCAGGGGTTGGGGCTTGCCCTATGACCAATGTAGGTGGGTAGAGGCAAGCAGCATGGTATTGGGCAAGACCACTGGACTGGGAGTCCAGAGATGCTGCTTCACCCTGGGCCTTTAGGCAAGTCCCTTTCCCTTCCAGAGCTTCAGCGTCCTTTCTATCAAATGATTTCTTTCTGCCTTTCTCCCAGGGTGGCTGTGGGGATCAAGGGAGACAGTGGCCATAGAGATGCTGTGTTAATTGCAGATGCGGCTGTAGGAGCACTTTGCTAACTACCAACGTGAGTTCAGACTCTTCAGGGTATTTGGCACCCAGGTCTGTGGTGAGGTGTGACATATGGGATGTAAGGTTTGATCCCTGCTCCGACTCCAGTCTTGCTAACATGCAAAACATTTGGCAAGTCATGAAGAGCAGTCTGGGAGAGCTTCTTCAAGGCAGCCTGGCTTCAGTGCAGCCCGGGCCATAACTGAGATAGAATTACGTGGCGAGGAAATCACCCAGGAGTCCTCAGGAAGAGGTGAGTCCTGTTCATGCACTTGGGCTGATCATGGCTGGATCCAGCTGCAGATGTCCGATGGGCAACACCAGACCACTGCGCTGCTGGAGGTGCAGGCCTTGGAGCCCTACCTCTGTGTGGCCAAAGGCTCCGGCCTCGTGGTCCCTCAAGGAGGCCAGGGCACCATCGACACAGCCAAGCTCCACCTGGACACCAACCTTGATATCCGCAGTGGGGATGAGGTGCACTACCATGTCACAGCCGGCCCTCGCTGGGGGCAGTTGCTCTGGGCCACTCAGCCAGCCACAGCCTTCTCCCAGGAGGACCTGTTGGATGGGGCTGTTCTCTAAGACCTCAATGGCAGCCTCAGCCCCCGCAGCACCCTGACCTTCTCAATGGAAGTGGGGCCAGTGCACACGGATGCCACCCTACAAGTGACCGTTGCCTAGAGGGCCCACTGGCCCCACTGAAGCTGGTCCGGCACAAGAAGATCTATGTCTTCCAGGGAGAGGCAGCTGAGATCAGAAGGGACCAGCTGGAGGTGGTGAGTGGGGGTGTGGGCCAGGTAGAGGGCCTCCGGCCCAGCTTCCATGCCAGGTACACATGTGACTTGGGCTGTGGCTGTGGTGGTCCCAGTTGCATGTGTGCACGGGTCTCAGATGTGCTCCCGTATATGTTGTGCTCCCAAGAGTTTCTGGGGAGCTTGCTGTACACCCATCCTCCTGGGAGTTGTGTGTGCCTCCAGAGTTCGTGTCCACTCGTGTCCATGGCGTGGCTGAGCATGCAGATTTCCGGGCCCCACCAAGCCCTATTGAATCTCTGAAGTGGAGCCCAAGAATCTGCATTGCAGTCAGTTTCCTGGGAGGGCATCACGGGTCCTGAACTTTGGGGATTGCTGGCCGTGGAGACAGGTGGCTGCTCTTCAGATCCACATGTTCCCCGCTATTTTCTCAGAGCCCAGACCAGGACTAGGAGGGTCGGTCAAGGGCTTCTACCCACCCAGGAACCACACAGAGCAGCCACGGGCCCTCCAGAAGGCTCGCTGACTTGCCCTGTGACCTCAGGCCAGTCCTTGCCCACTCTCGGCCTTACTCTCCTACACTGCTCATTTCGGAGACCCTTCTTGTCTGCATGTCTGGAGCTTGAGGCTGACAGTGAGCCAGCAAATCTTGCATTAGGAAGGCCTCGAAGGAGGAGGCAGCATTTGGGCCGGGCTCTGAAGAGCACAGGCCATCAGGAGCAGAGAATGGGGAGTGGTATTCCAGGCAGAAGGAACATTCCAGGCAAAGGCATAGAACAAGAATGTGAGTTTGAGAGTGGTTTAGCCTCTTGTGACTGGCCCATCAGGTGAGGGAGCCCATGTGGCCTTTGGGGCTTGAGCTCCATAGGGCCTGGGCTAAAGGCGGCTGTGCCTCCAGGAGGGGTGGAAGCACTGCCTGGAAACCAGCCACAGACCTGAACAGATCTTGAGCAGGTAGGCCTGTGTGTGTGTGTGTGTGTGTGTGTGTGTGTACACGCGCATATATACATGTGTGACTGTGTCAGCATATGATGAACTTGTGTGTCTGTGTCACTGAGTCTCGGGATATGTGATTAGGCACCTCCCCGAGGGAGTGCATCTCAAGCTGTGTGACTGACCCCCTGTAACCGTGTGTGGGGTGGGTACTAACATGTGACCAGCAGCCGGGGCAAACCAGTGAAACCCCATCTCTACACAAAAAATTTAAAATTAGCTGAGCATGATGGCACGTGCCTGTGGTCACAGCTACTTGGGAGGCTGAGGTGGGAGGATCCCTCGAGTCTGGGAGGTTGAGGCTTCAGGGAACTGTGATCACACCACTGTACTCCAGCCTGGGTGACAGAGTGAGACTGTCAAAAAACAAAAAATGTGACCAGCTGCATGCCTGGCTGCTGTGTGTGTGAACCCATGTGTGTGCTTGTGTGTCTAAATGAGCAGTGGTATCTGGAGGAATAAGTGGGGCAAGATCAAGCCTGTTCTGGCTGCTTAGGGCCACAATGGCCCCTCAGAGACTGCCTCTGTGGCCCCCTGTGAGTCCTCATGACCTCTGTTAACCAGGCAGCCCAGGAGGCAGTGCCGCCGGCAGACATCATATTCTCAGTGAAGAGTCCACCGAGTGCCAGCTGCGTGGTGATGGTGTCTCGTGGCATCTTGGCAGATGAGCCACCCAGCCTGGACCCCGTGCAGAGCTTCTCCCAGGAGGCAGTGGACGCGGGCAGAGTCCTGTACCTGCAATCCCGCCCTGAGGCCTGGAGCGATGCCTTCTCGCTGGATGTGCCCTCAGGCCTGGGTGCTCCCCTCAAGGGCGTCCACGTGGAGCTGGAGGTGCTGCCCGCTGCCATCCCACTGGAGGTGCAAAACTTCAGTGTCCCCATGGGTGGCAGCCTCACCCTGGCCCCTCCACTGCTCCGTGTCACCGGGCCCTACTTCCCCAGTCTCCCAGGCCTCAGCCTGCAGGTGCTGGAGCCACCCTGGCATGGGGCCCTGCAGAAGGAGGACGGACCTCAAGCCAGGACCCTCAGCGCCTTCTCCTGGAGAGAGGTACAGCTGTGAGAGAGGCCCAGGGGCTGCAGCCCAGCTCTGGGACACAGAGTACCCAGGGAACCCTGGGTACTCCCAGTGTGGGGGTTATACACAGAGAGGAGATGGGGAGTCACATATCAGAAGCACCTGTGCTTTAAATACTGTATCTCCTTTCTTCCTCACAGCTCCTCTGGGAGCCAGAACTTATGGTCCCCATTTTCCACCAATGGAAGCTGAAGCCCTAAAAGAGTCAGCCTCCTCCTGCACCCAAAGGCAGGACATGAAGGGTGCTGCTGGGGCCTGACTAGCCCTGGGCCTGCCCGTAGGTGGAAGAGCAGCTGATCCGCTACGTGCACGACAGGAGCGAGACACTGACAGACAGTTTTGTCCTGATGACTGACACCTCCGAGATGGACCACCAGAGCCATCCTGTGGCCTTCACTGTCACCGTCCTGCCTGTCAATGACCAACCCCCCGTCCTCACTACAAACACAGGCCTGCAGGTGAGAGTATTCCCGGCACCATCCCCCATGTCTGCTTCGAGAAAGAGGCCAGCGTCCCCTACTTCCCAGCACAGAGCTCCCCCTGTCTGAGCCTCAGTTTCCTCCTCTGCAAAATGGGGACGCTGCCGCATGCCTCACGGGGTTGTTGGAAGGAGAGTTGTGAGATTGTGCTGAAACGAAACACAGGTGGGAGGTTTTGTCATGGACACTTGCAGGTAAGTTAGGCAGACTTCTGAGCGGCCACGGGTGGCTCTGCTGTTCCTTCTCCTGTGGCTCAGGACCAGAACTCCCGACAGAATCACTTACAAGCCCGTAAGGGCAGGTGTCAGGGCAGGAGCCAATAAGCTTCTCACCTTCACCCCAGCAAGTAAAGGCCGTGGCTTGGCTCCCCAAACTCCTGCCCCTTGTGCCACAGCAGAGCAGGGCCCCCATTTGGCAGAGGTGGAAGTTGAGGCCCAGACATGGGGTGGAACTTCTCTATGGTTGTGAAAGTAGTTCTGGTAGAACAGAAAGGGCATGGCTTCACTAAGCCCACATGGCAGGGCTTTGAATGCCGGCTTCTGGGGTGCGTCCTCCTGGGTCAGCAAGAGTCACTGAAGGTTCCACAGGAGAGCTGACTTGGGCTGTCTCTGACATGGGGCGCTGAGGGGGGCTTTGGTAGTCTAGGATGTGCCCATAGAGGGTGGCCTCATGGTGCAGAGACCACAGGCCCCTGGAACCACAAGCCAGGACAGCTGTGTGTCAGTATGGCCTCCAGGTGGTGCCATCCACCCGTGTTTGGTCTGGGAGCCCAGCAATGGGGCCCTGTCCCCCACATTATGGCCCCTTCTGCCAAGACTCAGCCTGAGGGCTCCCCGGGGCCAGGGAAGGAAGCCCAAGAATGCCAGAAAGCTCTGTTTCCCGGGCATGTGAGTCCCACTGCAGCTCTGCCCACAAGTAATTGACGCACCAAGACTGGTACCAGGACCTCAGGAACAGGCGCCTGCTCTGCTTGCAAGTGGGAGGCCTGAAAAAGGGTCCCCTTCGCCCAACATGAGGAGGGCCCGTAACTGCTCTGGAAGCACCTGGGCCCATCGCAGCGCTGATTCTGTGCTGCAGAACATACCAACCATCAGCCCCCCACTCTCCGCGCCACCCACCCCTCCCTCAGCCGGAGGGAGGGCCCGTTTCTAAAATCACCATTCCCACCTGTGCCCCACCCTGGCCAGGCACACATGGAGGCTCTGAAAGGAGACCCCTGCCCCACCAGTGAGACAGATTAAGGAGCACTGTTGGTCAACGTTGGAGATTTCTGGGGGTGAGAACTTGGTGAGGGTAAGAACTGGGGCCTTCCTGGGTAGGGGACACAAGCTGGCCTTGAGGGACACGCAGGACTAGGGCAGATGGAGAGCAAGGAAGCTGGGCCTGGAGGGTGACCTTCCTTGGGGCCTTCCTTGGGGTGACAGGGAAGGTGAATGTGGGGAGGGCCCTTTGTGCAGGGGAGCCAGAGCAGTGCCAGCCTCGATGCCACCTGAGGGCCTGAGCCGCAGCAGGATTGGAACCCTGGTGGCAGCCCAGGGCTGGGGAGGAAGGGGTGGGTGAGCAGGGCAAGGCAGAACCTTCACAGGCCTGTGTCCCCAGATGTGGGAGGGGGCCACTGTGCCCATCCCTGCGGAGGCCCTGAGGAGCATGGACAGTTACTCTGGGCCCCTGAGCATCTGGTTTACGCCATTGAGCAGCCCAGCAAAGGGCGGGTAGTGCTGTGGGCAGCGCCGGGCACCGAGGTGCGCAGCTTCATGCAGGCCCAGCTGGGCGGTGGGCTCGTGCTGTTCTCACACAGAGGTGGGTGCTGATGGCCAGGCCCTGGGTTCCTGCTGCCTGCAGGGGTGCCCTGAGATGGGGAGCCAGCTCGGGCCAGCCGGACCCAATGACTCTGTCTTCAGGAGCCCTGGACGGAGGCATCCACTTCGGCTTCTCTGATGACAAGCACACTTCCTCCAGACACTTCTTCCCAGTGATGGCCCAGAAGCAAGTGCTCCTCTCGCTGGAGGGCAGCCAGACGCTGACTGTCTGGCTGGACGGGTGTGCTGATTGTGGGCATTCCGGGGTGTGCCAGGAGCTGGGGCAGAGCTGAGGGTGGCACGCCAGGGTCACGCTGCCTCTCTGGAGAGACAGGCCTGTGCCTGGATTTCAAAGGGTGATGGCCCCTTTTGCATCTGGAAGGGTCCGTCCAGCCACTCAGCAGCCAGAGCCTCAGAGCCAGCTCCAGCGCAGACACCAACTCCTAGCTTCTGCTCTATGGTGTGGTCCCGGGCCCCCAGCCGGGCCGGCTGTTCCATGCCCAGCAGGACAGCATAGGGGAGGACATGGTGAACTTCACTCAGGCAGAGGTAAGGGCCTCACTCTGCAGCCACCACTCAGATGCCCACAGCCTCAGGTGGCCGCTGTGCCACAGACATCATGTGGACATGGGTGCAGGTTCCAGCATCGCTGGCAGCAGACACTCCCAGTCCTGCCATGGTCCAGGCCCTGGTGTCCTGCCCTCCAGGAGCCACCAGGCTGGCAGAGCAAGTTCATGTTCCCAGAAGGAGAAAGAAGGATGCAGGAAGTTGGGGATACAGGGCCCTAGAGCAGGGCTGGGGTCTTGGGGTGTGGCTTCCAGAAGAAAGCTACAGCCAGACCCAAGGGTCTGGAGAGGGGGCACTAGTGGTACCCCAGTAGCTGGCAAGGGGCAACGCTTGGTCCAGAGGGTTGGAGTTGGAGGTGAAGCAGCTGCTGGGCCTGTGGGCAGAGGCGTGAGCCTGGGGCTCAGGTCAGGTGCCAGCCAGAGACAGTGGATCCTAGGGGCAGATGAGCTGATGAAAGGCAGCTGAGTCAGCCAAGAGGGTGAAGCCACGGTTCATCCGTCCTGGTGGCTTCAGAGACCACTAGGAAGAACTAGAGCTCTCAGCCATGGGTAGCAGCAGACTCTGTGATAACTGTGCCATGGGGGCCAGCCCAGTCATCGCTTAAAAGAACACCTCTTCCCGAAGGCAGAACAGGAGTTGTTCCATAGCAGGGCAGAGTGGCGCAGACCCTTCCGTGGGCCTTCCTGGGCAGGTGGTGCAACTGATGCCCCTGCCAGGAAGCTGCATGGGCATCTGGATCCAGCACATGATCACAGTGAGTTCTGAGTAGGGAGCGGTCTGGTGGGGCGCAGAGCTGACTCTGTCACTCAGGAGCCATGGCAGGCAGTACTGCCCCAAGTACCTCCAGAGGGGTCTGGCTGGCTGGTCCCCCCGCCAGCCCTTGAAAATGGCACAGCCCACCCCAGCCCCCTTTCTAAGCTCCCTTGCTTGGGCAGGGACCTCCTGAGCCTGGCACTCTCCCTCCTGAGAGGCGCAGATGGTATTCAGGAAATGCAAAGCAGAGGTTTCTTGGGCCTCTCACATCAACACCTCCCAGTCCCAGGTTCTGTATTTCCCTGGAGCCCCACTCCTGCTATGGCCCCCTCCCCACAATGAGATATTCATCAGGCTGGTGTCTACAGCTGCTGTGTACCCTCGGTTGCTGGGAGCCTTTGTCAAGAATGCACAGGAATGGGGAGGGCACGGGACCCAGCCATCAGCAACCCTCGCGCACTCTATAGTCCCACGTTACTCAGAGCTTCCCCGTGCCCCAGCAATACGAAGGACTAGACTGAATGGGCACCAGGGTACCAGGCTGGCAGTGCCACAATGGTAAGTGGGGAAGAGGCTACATGGGCTATCTGGCCCACTCAGGGAGGAGGGCAGGACTGGGGATTGTCTTGACAGCAGCCCTGTCCCACAACACTGAACTGGGCAGGGAAGGGGTCAGATGTTCCCCTGACATGGGAGTGGATTCCAGAGCATCGGACCTGGCTGCCAGAACTGGCCCTCTCCTTCCAAGGCACTGGGACCATGGATGCCGGAGCCACGTATGGCTGAGGGCTGGTGGAGCCTGCCCCCCAGGGAGCGCTGACTCCCGGAGGTGGTCGTTTTTGGGGAGGGGGCTATGGGGCTCGTCCCACCTGCCCCCTTCTTTCCAGCATGTACATGGCACTTCCCTCTATTTTCACTCTTGGTGGCCGCCCCACACATTGCATTCCTCCTCCTCCTCGCTGTCCTCCATCCTCCATTCCCTCCAACTCCTCTCCCAGCCCCTGGGGAGCCTACCTCAGGTCAGAGAGTCTGAACCCTGAGATATGCTGGGTGTGTGGATTTCCTTCAGCTACCCTGATGTTCCCACTTCCAAGTCCTGACTCCTTTGAGCCATCCCAGGGGGTGTCCAGCCACTGGACCACAGGAGCAGAGACCAGGCTGTGACTGTGTGACCATCAAGGTTTGTGATGTGTGTGACACATCACATGAGTGTGAGAATGTGAGAATGGCACCAAGCCTGGGCTAGGACAGAAGCAGCTGGGGAAGGAGCCTGGGGGCCATGAGCAATCTGATTTTTTATCCACCTCCCCCCCCGCCACCTTATCCAGTCTAAACCAATGTGGTAGGGGTGGCTGCTGGGGAAGGGATGGGAGTGTCTGAAGCCCACTTCATTCCCAAAGATTTCTAAGGAAAAGCATTCTACATCCTCTGGCTTGGTCTTGTTGACCCATGGCCCTCTTTCAAGGACATTCACTCTGATTCCCAGTGTGCCCTGTTTCCACTGGCCACGTTCTCTAAGGAAGAACAATAGTATCTGTTTTTGTTTCCAAATGGCTGGAGAGTGGGGCTGTGGGTCCAGCGCCCATAAACCAAAATGAGGCAGGGATTGGGGCTTGCCCTAGGATGTGGTAATGACCAACGGAGATGGGTAGAGGCAAGCAGCATGGTATTGGGCAAGAGCACTGGACTGGGAGTCTAGAGATGCTGCTTCACCCTGGGACTTCAGGCAAGTCCCTTTCCCTCCCAGAGCCTCAGCGTCCTTTCTATCAAATGATTTCTTTCTGCCTTTCTCCCAGGGTGGCTGTGGGGATCAAGGGAGACAGTGGTCATAGGGATACTGTGTTAACTGTAGATGTGGCCATAGGAGCACTTTGCTAACTACCAACATGAGTTCAGACTCTTCAGGGTATTTGGAACCTAGGTCTGTGGTGAGGTGTGACATATGGGATGTAAGGTTTGATGTCTGCTCCAACTCTAGTCTTGCTAACACATGTGAAACATTTGGCAAGTCATGATCCTGCCTTGGGGAAAAGGGCAGTCTGGGAGAGAGCTTCTTCAAGGCAGCCTGGCTTCAATGCAGTCCAGGGCATGACTGAGATAGGCTTATGTGATGAGGAATTGGAGGGTATCTGGTAAAGAGCTGCAGTGTGGGCAGAGGTTTAGTGTGGGACTCACTGAGGACACCCACTGGCCAAAGCAGGGAACAGAGACAGAAAGAGAAAGAGCTCTGTGGGGAGGGTGGGGCATAGGGTGGAGAACTTCAAAGTCCGAAGAGTATGACTTGTTGGGGCTCAATGCTGTAGGCAGTAGGGAGCCATGGAAGGCTCTTAGGTAGAGAAATGGCAGCTGAACATTAGCGAGCAAGCGCTGTCTCCGTGAGCAGCATGGATGGTCCTCTGAGCATGCCAGCATGAGTGTGCAGGGAGCTGGTGCAAATGCCTCTGTGTGTGGGTGAGCTTCTGTGTTGTGACTCTGCCCATGTGTGTGCTTCAGTGTGCCGAGTGGCTGCACACCCCAGATCTGTGCTGCACGTGCCAGCCAGTGAGGGTGCTGGGCACTGGGAGGTGGCAGGGAAGGAGGCGTATGCGTGTTGTGGGCATGTGTGTTAGTGTGTGCATGCCAACAGTGGGGCCTCACAGCATGTGTGTGCACACCCCGGCAAGTGCATGTGTGTGTCCCCCAACCCCAGGCCTGCCCCACCCATGCATATGAGCTGCCATGTTGATTTGATGCTGTCTTTCAGAATCACTATCAGTGGCCCCTGAGGAGCATCAGCCGTGGTAGGTACATGCCTCGCCACCTGCTACATGAATGGTGTTCCCGCCCCACTGCACCAGCTCCACAGGGGGGCACACCTGGGACCTCAGATCCAGGCTCCCTGCCCCTCCTTTCTGGAGCTGCAGATTTGCTCTTTCCTCTTTCTGTCCTCGTGCTGTGGCTCTCTCACCTCCCTTCCCTGTGAGCCATGGGACTCAGCACCACTGCCCATGGCCTCCATGGCTGAGCCTGGGTGCTCTCGGAACAGGCTCCATGCCCAAGCTGGCAGACATGGGTGCTCTCTGGAGCCATCAGAGAGGGCATAGAGCTCATGGTTTATGGTGTAGGGGCTGGGAGCTTGGAGGGCGTTGTGTGGGGCTGGACTCTGAGGAGGCCAGAGGTCTAGGAACGTCATCCTGGGCACGCCATACCTGTCATGCAGTCTGAGTCATGCTGCCAGGGCAGGGCATCCAGCTCCCAGCCTGGGAGTGCTGAGAGCCGAATCCACTGCAGAGCAGCGGTGATAGTCGGGGTCCCACCTCCTCTATCTGTTGGCAATCCAGTGATGATCTAGGATAAAATCTTAAAGTTCCATACACATGGTCATCCCACAACACACTTCACAGGCCAGGAAGGGACACACAGCCCCCTTCCCATCCTCCCAGGTACCATCATAGCTGCTAGTGTGTGACCGAAGGCAGGGTCCCTGGCCCCCGCTGAAGCATTACCACTGGCCAGCAGGCTCACGCACCTTGGCCAGTTGCTCCTAGGGGTCACCTGTGCTATTCAGCCAACGGGACCACAGTGCCTGTTGGCCCAGCTGAGCTCTGCCTAGTGAGCCCACCTGCCTCTCCTGCCACAGACTCTCCCTCTTCTGCTTTTCCCAGCAGGAAGGGCCCAGCCTCACCTATGAAACCCGCAGCCCCCCTGCCCCGCAACCAGTTGAGGCTCCCGTCTTAGACTTATAAGTCTATGGCCAGTGGCATCCAGCTACCTGCCCTCCCTGCCTTCCCCAGGCTCCCTTCAGAGGACCCTGGTCTTTCTGACCACTCAGAGGGGCCTCTGGCACTCACTCCAGCCATCCATCCCTTATAGCTTCACCATTTTGGTTCAAGCAGTGTTCCTTATCAGGCCAGTTGGCTGTTGGGTGGGGCTCCCCAAACAAGAGGTGCCCCTGGGCCAGTGGGTTGGAAGACAGGGTGACCAGAGAAGGGGGAAGCCCAAGGGGGCTGAGCATTGGTCTGAACTGTGGGCGCACTGCCTGTGTGCCATAGGTGAGGCCAGCGTGTGTGGGCTGGGGAGGGCTGCCACAGCCCCAGGCACTACCTGTGAAGCTCTGGCTCCTCCCTCCATCTTCCTCCCCTTTCCCTTCCAGCCCCTTTTCCAGGAACCTTTGCCACACCCACACCTGCGCCCTCCCCTCCCTGGCCCTCCCACAGCTCCTGTGGCGCGCCAGTGCTCTGCGCTTGCCTCACCAGCTCTCTGCTTGCTTTTCTCTCTCCTATTTTTGCTCTACTTCTCTCCAACTGTCAGCTGATTGGGTCAGGCAAGTCCACCCCATCCTGAGAGCCCCAGCCACACTTTAACCTCCAAACAGATCCTCCTCTTCTCGGAGGCCTCCCTTTCCAGGCCTGCTGGGCGGGTGTCCTGTGACTTGACAGTGGCTCCCCAGCCCCAAAGCCAGCCCCCTTCATCTGTGACTTAGTCTGTTGTAGTGCTGAGCTGACACATCCAGGTGTGACCGTTCCTGAAAACTTGTGCCCCTCTGTGGTATGCCCTGCCCTGTTCTATAAATATCTATAAATACTCTGTGGTATGCCCTGCTCTGTTCTATAAATATCCATAAATACTCTGTGGTATGCCCTGCCCTGTTCTGTAAATATCTACAAATACTCTGTGGTATGCCCTGCCCTGTTCTATAAATATCCATAAATACTCTGTGGTATGCCCTGCCCTGTTCTATAAATATCTATAAATACTCTGTGGTATGCCCTGCCCTGTTCTATAAATAGCTATAAATACTCTGTGGTATGCCCTGCCCTGTTCTATAAATATCCATAAATACTCTGTGGTATGCCCTGCCCTGTTCTATAAATATCCATAAATACTCTGTGGTATGCCCTGCCCTGTTCTATAAATATCTATAAATACTCTGTGGTATGCCCTGCTGTGTTCTATTAATATCTATAAATACTCATATATATATATATGAGCAAGCATGGGGGTGCATGGGGGTGCTGTGCAGGCAGCCGTGTGGCCTGACAGTCTCTATCAGTCCTGCCATCCCTCAGCTGAGAATCAAACCCATTTCTGGGTGGCGGGGAATGTGTCCTCTGCTGGCTGTGTTCTCTGTGGAGTTCAGGGGAGGGAAAAGGCCAAGCCATTTCTAGGGTGCTATTGGGAGTAGTGAAAAGGCCTTTCCAAGGGACACTTTTCCTGGAAAGCCCCTGGAACTTAGCTGGCTCTTATCCTGTGAAGCAGGCTCTGGCCACTAGGGGGCAGGGCCATGAACTCAGCCTGGAGGAGCCTGTGGGACAGCCAGCACTCTGGAGGGACAGACAGAATAGGCCACCGGGTGCAGACAGGAGAGGGAGGCAAGGGGATGGAACGGAAGACGCCTGGGGTGGATGGAAGTCAGTGGCCTTCGGTGCTGGTGTCTGTCTTCCTGGCCACCGCTAGATTAGGCTTCTGAGCCTGTTGGCTGTCAGGGCTAGGCGCCATAGCAGGCCCCATGAAATTCACCAGGTGTCACCAGACAGCATACAGTTAACAGGCCTGGAAGTCCCCAACAGCCCAGCTGGACATGCTCAGACACTCTGGGGCTCCTCGTTCAGTGGCACAAACTCCAGGACCCAGTGAGGGAAATGGGAACCCACCAGGCTGCGCAGTATGGCTAAATCCATTTATTCCGAAATGAAAAGCAAAATAAACAGGAGTCGCACCACCAAGGAAGGCAGGACCCCATCCCCACCTCCTTCCTCCATCCTATGATATCAATAAATAAGTTTTCCAGCTGTAAATAACAATTAGAATCTCCTCCTCATATGCCAGCTCCAGCCTTTGCTACGTATGATACAGGGGGTGGTCCTACCCCCCAGAATATACAAAATGTTACACAGATAGTATATGTACACTGGGGAAGGGGGGCCACCCCAGCAGCCCGTGCCCTCGCCTACTCTACCCTTAGCCCCACTGTCCCGCCTCAGCTGCCTCTCTGAATAAGAAGATGGGAGCCCCCTGAGGGAAAAGTTGCTTTGGTGAGAGTAGAGAGGCCATCAGGCCTCCTCCAAACAAACCAGCTCCACCAGCCTCTGGCTCTTAAATAACAAACATCACCGTCCAGAAATTTAAGGACTCAGCCCTGGTCAAGGTGGCAAAGGGTCTGTTTGTCTCCCTCCATTAGACGGGGTCTTGTCTTGCTACCCTAATGGTAAAGGGGTGACTGGGAAGGGGTGGTTGATACATGGTGGTGGTGGAGACTCCAGCCCCACTTCTCCAGGGTTATGCTGACAGGGGCCTGCTTTTATTTTTCTCCCATGACTTTTTAAAAAAAAATTCCATGACTTCCTTTTCATAACTTTTTAAAACATGTTTCATAAAACATTTTTCTACTTTTTTTCCACAACTTCTTTTGCCACAACTTTTCTACATTTTTCATCCCAATAATTTTCTCATCCCACTTTTAAAATTCCTGTAACTTCTTTTTAGTTTGTGTCCTTTCAATAAACACACTTGCATAGTTACAATTTTGTAAAAATAAAATCCGATGATCTCATGCCAAGCGTGCCCAGGATTTGCACACTCAATACCTTTAACAACATAGTTTACAAGACACACAAAATTTGAAGGCAAAAACAGCGTTTTGCAACAATTTCCTAATTTATTACATTACAGTAGCATCACAGTAGCAGTCAATAATGGCACTTTAGACAACAGTCTTTCAGTATTTCCATTATACATTCTGTTGACAGGAATTCGTAAATTGGTAAAAGTCATTTTAAGAAAACTTGGCAAATAAAGCTGTGGACTGGAATTGACATCTCTTTCTCTACTTTTCCTTCCCCCAGTTTCTTTGTTTTAAACTACAGTATTCATATTTTAAGATGTTTTAACTTATTTCACAACATTAACATAGCAGTTATATTTTTCAATAGTTATATTATTTTAAAGTGACTCTGTAAGATAAAGGTTTAGAGAAAGTATTATGGATAGGGCTGAGTTACATTTTCACATTTTTCTAAAAATCTGCTTTGGTTTTAGAGCTGATTTTTTTCATTTCTGGAAAACCTATCAGGTTTAATCAGATACTCTAAAAATAATGACCATATATTGCAATCTTTAAATATGTATTTTGATTCCTTAGTTCCTACAGAAATTCATATTTATTCAGTTGAACTCACATTTTAAAATTCTATATTTCTGATGAACTCTAACCTTCTAATGTTGCCTTCTAAGCAAATTGAAAGCTGTCTTATACTGAATAAGAAAGAGAATAAATACTTGGCTGAATGAGGTATCGCAAGAGACTGTATGCACTTTGAAGACTTAAGTTATTATCATAGGATTTCCATTCTTTCTAGCTTTTTCGGAAACATAGGACAAAATATCTACACAAAGAGTGGTATTTTGGTTAATACAGTACATTTCTTTTCCAGACTGACATCCAGCTTCAACATGCCAGTGTGTGATTTCACCCATAGGTACCTGATGAGCACATTATTGTCAGATTGGTTACAGATGCTAAACGTGATCTGAAGGACATTCCTAGTCATTTATATTTATCAAGGCAAAAGTGAAGTGATTTGAACTATGAAAATTCCTTGAAATAATTTTTCAATGTATTAGGTAAGCCCAGTTTCAGAATGATAAAGAAAAACTGTTAGACCAAAGAAGGTGGCTAATTAACAGTGGTAAGATTTCTAGCCCGAGGGTTTAAAATGGACTTAAAGTAACAGTCTTTCAAGTGAACTCAAATAATGCAAAAGCGGCAAGTTCACAAAATAGAAGGCAAGAACAGGACCTTAAGTCCATTTTAAATAGGCTAGAAATTGTACCACTGTTAATTAGCCACATTATTTGGTCTAACAGTTTTTCTTTATCATTCTGAAACTGGGTTTATCTAATACATTGATAAATTCATACAATTTGGAAGAGTCAGTTGAAGTCACAAGGACCCAATATTTGCACTCTTTCAGTGAATGCAGGCAAATCTGTTATTCCATCTGTAAAATCATATTATTGCTCTCCTATTAATGTCATATTTATAAAAGTATCATGAGGATGTCAAATGCTGAAAATGGAGATGATCTAGTGACTAGAAATGCCCATCCCAGGGAGTGCACACACATCTCTCCCTACATCCTAATAATGTGACATATTTTCGAACATAGACATTAGAACTTCATGAAGTTTTAGCTGTTGATTCTTTCCCAAGCATCATAAAGTTACAATTTAGGCAATGTATGACTGAAATAATTCATTCATCCTGTATAGGCACATAAATACGGCACAAAATATGCCTCTAACTGAAACCAAGAGGTACAAAAACATATTTCACTCTTCATAAAGAACTTTGTGAGGAAATATAATTCTGTGATTGTGTAGATACTTTTACTCATAATACTTTGACATTCACAAACAGTGGATTGCATTGCAGTTTGTAAATATTTTAAGTTGCATAAACTTCTTGATTTTCAAATGTAGTATAACACTGTCCACTAAAACTGCTTTTTGTTTCAACAAATACTCTCACATGTATTACTTTATTAAAATGGTTGTTATTATTTTTAAAGTGTTTTCCATTCAAGGAAAAGAAGTAATTCCTATGTCAGATTAACCAATGTGGCTGAAGAATAGGTATTAGCCAGAGAGGTCTAGATGGTAAAATCAGTCTTCTAGCCTCAAAGAAGCTCCGTGAACATAGAGGAATGCCAGGTGTCACACAGCTTTCCTTCACTCGAATTCATTCTTGACTAGAGCCTGTATGCCTGTTCCAGGGACATTTAAACTCTGAAAGTGTTTCTTATGATCGTCACTAAATACACTAAGAAGAATGCCAAGCAGTGCCCTTTTGTGTACTGGGACATGTAGTCATGTGATTAAAACAGGTAACATGAACTCTGACTTTAAAATGTATTGTAGATATAAATGCTCTAAGCTAGAAAAGATTTTCCACATCCACAGTCAATGGCGGGAGCCTTTCATTCCTCAGAAATAATCCCTTTTAGGTCATTGAGAAAGAGTCCAACCGCTGCAGCTCATGCTGCGATATCTTCATGAGCCCAGAGCACGTACAAATCCTAAGGGAACTACCATAGAACCGCGCTCATTCCTGGCACCAGAACAAATGAATCACACTCTATCCTGCACACACCTGCCAGAGCAGGCCACTTTCCTCTTCTGTGAGATTTAAAAAGCTCCCCAAAATGTTATTACTCCCATCCCCAATACACAGAAAATAGGGGAAAATCTGTTTCCAGTTCTCGGCCTTTAAACAACTCTAAATGTCAGTACTCACAGTGGCATATTACAAAGTAAGAAACAGTGTGCACTTGAGGGCAAACCACGTATTGAGCTAATGAAGAGCTCACTGTGATTAGGAATCGATCAAACATAATAGCAGAACATAAGCAAATTTTATCTGAATTCTGTAATGAGTATACATGCTGCAATAACATTTAAAAAGCATGGCAGCCTATTCCAAACCAGCAAGAATAGTTTTGTGCAAATAGTGGGTCTTTGTGTGTTTGAACTCCTACCATGTAAAGGCAAACTCGATATGCGAGCTAATGACCTACAATTATCAAATTAAAAACAAAAATGTTGAAGGATGCCAGAGTGAACATCAGGGAAAGACCCACTCTCCCTTAACTTTCTACAAATAAATTTAAACTGTAAATTAGAAACATAAATAAACATGAGGAGCTCTAACATTCAAATGAAGTAAATGAATTGTGTAGGAGATTAACCCCATAACTTTTGGTTGCTGTTTTTTCAATTTCTTGACCAGCTCTTAGGTGATGATGATGTTTATCTCTCTGTTCTCAGCTGCCCAGTAAAAGAATGGCATGCAGGGTTTGCTGGCCAAGCCTGGGTGCTCCTGGGTGTCCTGCGTTACAGGAAGCAGCTGCACAATCTTCTGTGAGGTGGGGTTGTCACGGGGAGAACCCTCCCTGGCCTCTCCTGGTGCAGGCTCCACGCTGTCCACCACGCTCACCTCATAAAAATCTTTGGAGAGAGGCAGGTGGGGTTCTGAGTGCAGTGTGAGCCTCCCTTGCTCCTGCCTGTCCACCCCGCCTCAGGGCTCCACTCACCAGGCTGCTCCTCAGCAGCCCCAATCTCCTGGGGGGCTGGGGCCCCTGGAGCAGGCTCATCAGCAGGGTTGTGGGCAGCAGGGAGGAATTTGTCATGTCCCTCATGGTCACCCACAAGTGTCAACAGCAGCTTCTGCAGCTCCAGTAGATTCACCTGAATGGAGGGGTCCTCAGATGCCACTCTGGATCCAGCGCCAGTGCCCATGCTGACCCCCACCCCCGCAAAGATGTTGCATGCCCTACCTTCATCTCCTCCTCGTTCTGGTCCAGCCTGATGATATCCTCCATCTCCTGGTGCCGCGTGTTTGGCACTGCCCCTTGGCTCCCATATATGGTGATGTACTCTCCTGCAAGAGGACAGGGCTCAGACGCCGGGGCCCCTCCAATGGCCCTGCAGCTCCCTGTGCCCATGCCGTGGCCTCCCGCTCACTCATGCCGTCTGTTGCTCCAGAGAGCTGGATGAATCCAAGCTTTAGGTTCTCCACCTGCTCCATCCTGTCCACCTTCTCCTTTCGGAGGTCCATAAAGCCACTCTGCAGCCAAAATAATCTGGTCATATCTCGAGAGTGACCTGTCCTGCCCCACCTCCACTTTTCTTGGCCCATGCCAGGACTCACTCACCTTCACCTTCTCCATGGCCTCCCTCAGGGCCCGGTAGCTCTCCCCACACACAAACTCAAACACAGTCCCTGAGGCTGGGGCCTCTCCTCTGGCTCCTTCCAGGCCGAGGCCACCAGGTGAGCCAGGTGCAGGCAGCACAGCCTTCACACCTTCCGCTGCCCACATATCCGTGCCTGCTCCTCCTGGAAACTGGCTCCAGCGGAGTTGAAAATGCCACTTGAAGGCAAGAGCTGAGTATTCTTGTAGGGGCATACACAGAACAAATGGGGCAGGGAGGTGGAGCACAGCCCCTTCCCTTGGGGCCTCAGAGTGCACCTGTTGGTCACAGGTGAAATGGTGTCTGACCACTGGCTCCCGGAAGGGGTGAAGGTCCAGAGAAATCAGAAGGCGGGGAAACCAAGAGCATAAGGGGGCCTGGGAGGGACCACAGAGGAAGGTGGCAACGTGGGCACAGGGAAAGTGAGACTCACCGTGGCTTCCCGGCTCTCCAGGTCCTCTGGGACACTCGGCATAGGCCGAGGCACCCCCTCCTCCTCACTGTCCAGATGTCCTCCTCCATCTCCTGTGGGGAGGTGGCCAGAGGGGTCCTCAGACAACCCAACAAGGGAGGCACTGTGGGCCCACCTCTGTCCCCACCCTCACTGTGTAACCCTGAGACAGCCCCTCCCCAGAGGGGAATGAGCTGCTGTTCTTTATTTTTCCTTTTAAGAACCGAGATCTTGCTATATTGCCCAGGCACAGTCACACTACCGGTTGGTGCGGGAGTTCTGACCTGCTCCCTTTCTGATCTGGGCCAGTTCACTCATCCTTAGGCAACCTGGTGGCCCCCTGCTGCCAGGAGGTCACCCGATTGATGCCGAACTTAGTGCAGACACCCAGTTGGCAAAATGACCAGATGTTCTAAAGGTCTCTTCCAGCTCCTTGATCCTATGCTGCTGACAGTCCCCCCTTCCTCCTGGGGCTCTCTCCTCTTCCCCTGAGTGGTCTCCTGTACCTTGTCCAGGGAGAGCCATGAGGCTCAACTGGGTCTCTAGCTGTTGGTTCCACTGGCTGGCAGCTTCTAGGTGCTCCTAATGGGACGGGAAACAGAGTGAGAAGGCACAGAGGTTGCCAGGTCATCCCCCTCGGGGGCCCCGTCCTCAGCAACTCACTCCCCTGGGTCTCCTGCAACTTTTGGCAGGCCATCTCAGCCACCGCTTTGCCCCGAGTTTCCTGCTGCTGCAGGTCCATGAGCTGGGTCTGTAGTGGTAACTGCCTGTGCAGCGCCTCCTTCTCAGAGGTCAGCTGCTGATAGGGGGCCATGTACTGCTGCGGGTGACCCAGGTACTAGTCTCGCTGCTGCTGTGCAGACTCTGAGACTCTTGGCTCTTCAGCTCCAGCTGCAGGAAGGCCCTAGGCAGGAGGGCACGTGGTGGCTGGCTTCCAGATTCTGGGCCCATTAATAGGGTAATGAGGGCACTGTGGGGGCTCTGTCACCTGCCCAGGCCCCTGGCCTCTTGCTCCAGGCCTTAGAGACTTCCTCCCTTGCCTAGAACCCCATGCCTCCTTCCCCAGCCTCAAATCTCATGTCTTCTTCCCACCATTTAAACTGTAGACCACAGACTGGAGGGAGCCAATCACCATCTGCTAAGTGTGCTCCATGCCTAATGCTTTCCATGTGTTCTCTCATTTAATCCCCAGCACCTCCATAAGAAAAATGCTAACTTCCTTTTGAAGCTAAAGAAACAGAGACTTAGAGATGAAAAGTAGTTGAATGGTGACCAGTGGGACTGAGGCCAGAATCCAGTTCTAATCTAAGGAGGCTTTTTTGTTTTGTTTTGAGACAGAGCGTCACTCTGTGGCCCAGGCTGGAGTGCAGTGGTGCAATCTCAGCTCACTGCAACCTCCACCTCCTGGGCTCAAGTGATTCTCATGCCTCAGCCTCCTGAGTAGCTGGGATTACAGGCATGTGCCACCATCCCTGGCTAATTTTTTGTCGTTGTAATTTTAGTAGAGATGAGGTTTTGCCATGTTGGCCAGGCTGGTCTCAAACTCCTGACTTCAAGTGATTCTCCTGCCTCAGCCTCCCAAAGTGCTGGGATTACAGGGATGAGCCACCATGCCCAGCATAAGAAGCCTCTTATACCACTGTCTCTTCCCCTGTGATTGGGGAAATCCATGCCTCTAGCTGGGATGATGATGTCCAGACCTGGGAGGAGCCCAGGGCTACCCACCTCTAAAAGTCAGAGGGCAGGAGGCAACAAACAGACATAGGGCTGCCCTGGAGTGTGCTAAGGTCACTTGCCCCACAGTTGGAGCTGCCTTTGGCCTGGCACCTCCCCTCCCCAGAGGCTGGTACCTGTCTCCCAGCCCTTCTTGGATGGGGCAGAGCTTACCATCTCCTTCACCTTGCTCAGCTTCTCCTGCAGCTCCTTTACTTGCTACTCCAACTGCAGTGTGCTCTTGTTCTCATGTTCTGGACAGAGAGAAGCAATCAGTGGCCATCCACTGCAGCTGGAGACCCCAGAACTTGGTGTCTGTCTCCCATGTCAGCGGGAAGGGTGGAGGCAGGTTAGAAAAATCATCCCCTCTCCCCCACAGCCATCAGAGCAGGGCCTGATGAGCTCTGGCTCACAGGTGCCTTTAGCAGTACCATGTCATGTGAGGGCTACACTGCCCCATTTTACAGGTGGGGAAACAAAGGCCTGGAGGGCTAGGGATGAGGGCAGGCTCCCCAGGTGGGGCAACCTACCAGCTCCTTGAAGCCGCACTGTGGCTTGGCCAGCTGTTTGTCGAGCTTGTGGTTCTGGGAGAGTGTGCATCTCTTCTCCTGCTTTTGCAGCCTCTCCTCCTGCTTTCATAGCCTCTCCTCCTTCTCCCACAGCCTCTCCTCCTGATCCCACAGCCTCTCCTCCTGCTTTCGCAGCTTCTCCTCCTCCTTTCACAGCCTCTCCTCCTGCTTTTGCAGCCTCTCCTGCTGCTCCCGAAGCCTCTCCTTTTGCTCCTTGCTCCGGAGACTCAAGGCCTGATTGTTTTCCACCTGGGATTGGAGTTTTCCCACCAAACTCTCCACCTCCTTCCTCAGGTGTTTGGCCTCATCTTGTAGCTGCTCCACTTCAGAGGGCCCTGCTGGGGGCACTGGGGATGGGGGCTCAGCTGAGAAAGGAAGCAGACAATGAGGGCCTCTGGATTCCCCAACCCCTGCCTCTCAAAAAAACCAACCCTACTCTTGACGCACAGCTCCTCTGAGGCTTCCCAAACTTGGCCTCACTGCTAATGATTCCTCACACCCGATGGAAGCCAATTTCCCAGCCATGTCAGATAGAGAGCACTGTGGGTGTCTGACAACGGGCACTCCTCCCTCTTTGCTGATGAGGACCCTGAGGCTCATGGAGATGACAAGACTTGCTGAATCCTGGCACAGACCTCGTTCCCTCTGCCTCAAATCCCTTCCATCCACCCACCTGCCTGGGGCATTCTAAGCCACCCCACAGCCCTGTGATGCCAGTCCTGCTCCCAGGTCACACCATTCCCATTTTACAGATGCCCAGAAAGATCCAGTGACCCATCTAAGGTGGGGGCTGGAGGGTCAGGTCTCACCTCCATCGACATTTTCCTCATCCTCTCCTGCCACCGGGCCCTCTCTCCTTTTATATGTTGAGCATATTCATCTCTCTCTAGCTGGACTTGTTTAAGTGACTCTGTCACCTGCAGGAATGGTCACAGAAGTGAGGAAGGGCTGTCACTGGTCCTCACCTGCTCCTGGTCACCTGGGGTCATCTTCCTTCCACATCCCTCCCTCTGCAAAGCCTCACCTGTGTCACGTGTGCGTTCAGCAGCGCCCGCTCCTTTAAGGTCTGCCGGAACTGCCGCTGGAGGACGGCTTCACTGCGGCTCGAGGACTGGATGGTGAAGAGTGAGAAGTTTTGATGTGGGGAGCCCGGGCAGTGCCCCTTAAAAGGGCTAGGGCTAGGCTCAATATACAACTCGGTCAGTAAAGATCAAGGCATTTCCAAGCCCGTGGCCTGGTTTTTAAAAGAACTCAGTAAACTTGGAAGGGACAGGGAAAGAGATTGAATTATAGCTGGCTAACAGAGGCCCAGAGAGATCAGATAATATTGCTAGTGTTATTACTACCACTGTTTGAACCTTAATGGAGTGCTTCACCAGGTACCATGCTAACAATCCTATTTAATCCTCACAACCACCATATGAGACAGTTACTAGGATTACCTCTATTGTGTACATGAAAAACATGCAGTATTTGAGGTTAAGTGCTTGTCTAAGATCACTCAGACAGAGCTGGGATTTGAACATCCAGGTATACCCAATTCTCTAAGCCCATTTTTCTTGTTGTGGGTAGGCGCACAGGTAGGAAGTGGGAAATTAATCTTTTGTTCGCTTTTTGGAAAGAGAATACATTCACATAGTTCAAAACTCAGAAGGTACAGAAGGGAAGTGTCTCCCAGCTGCCCTGTTACTCTCTCCTGAGGTTTTTATGAACCCTTGCAGACATGTTTCATGTATATTATCATAGTACATACACACACACACACACACACACACACACATCTTTCCTCTCTCTACAGAAATGGTGACATACTAAAGGTTCTCTTCTGTACCTTCACAGTACAAGTACCCAATACCCCACCTAGGACTTGGCCAAGGCTACAGCCAGGTAAGGGCAGGGCAGGCACTTGGCCTCCGAGTTTTGCATCCAGTGTTCACTCCCCACAGTGCCCCCAACTCACCCACAGCAGCTGACTCAGCCCCAGGCTGCCTCTAACAACCATACACAAAAGCAGTGAGAAATGAGCATGCTGCCTTCTGGGCAGGACACTGCATCCTGCAGAAGGGACCTTTAGGCTCACTCCTCCATCTGGGAAGCCGGGCTGCCAGGGAAGGGGGCAGTTGGTTGGACTCACCCTGTCCTCTTCCCGCTGCTGTGCAGAAACAGCAGAGAGAGCCCGCTCCAATTCTTGAATACGCTGTAAGGAGTATTGCAGGCGGCCGGCCAGATCTTGGACTCTTCTGTAATGAGAGATTGAGATGAGGTTCAAAGGACTCCACCTAAAGACTTGTCAAAGTGCCAGGTTGAAGGATGACGGGGTGCCCAGATTCCCACCTTCGAAGTGTCTGGCGGCACGTTTAGTATGGTAAAGGGTGGTCTTCAAGTCTGCCTTTTCCAATGTGAGGATGTTGATTGTCTGGAATTGAACGTTTGGGAGAAAAGCCAAGCAAGTGCTGAAAGAGATGGAAAGAAACATTCTCCGGAGGACAGGAGAAAACTCCCCACCCTCCACTCACCTCTAACTGCTCCGTCTGTGCTTTGTGTATGTCATTGTTTGCTTTCTTTTCCTGTAGGAAGAGGAAGACAGAGCTCTTACCCGGGGGAGGCAGAGATGGCACAGCAAGAGACATGCCCCCAGCATGCCACCAAAGCCCCAGGACAGGCCCACCCATGGGACCAGGTTTTCAGGGACCCTGTGGGTATGGGGTGGAATCTGAGGGGTGAGTCTTCTTCCCCAGGCTGGGAGTGGGTGAGACGGGACTGGCGCCTCTACATCTGAGTGCCCCCCAAACCCAGCAGTCATGTTGTGTGCAAAGAAATCACGTTACTTCTTCCAGCTGATGTTCCACTTGTTTCTTCTGTTGTTTCTGTGGGAAGAGTCAAATTCAGGGGACTGAGGGGGGCCCCCTCAACTCTATTCCCCAGATGAGGAAGCAATAGGCAGGGGCCAGGAATGGATTTTAAAGGCAAAGTTCTCAGACCCAATGGCAACACGAACTGGTCAACTCTCCTCAAGCTCCCAAGGACAGAGGATTTGGGTCTTTGTTGGTTTTTGCCCACAGCCACAGAACTCAAAGTCTGAATCTGGATTCTCTCAAAAGGACAGTAACATAAACCTCTAGAGACGGAGTTTGAGAAAGGCCCACCCTTCTGCCAGCTTGTGATTTAGAAAGATGCGTTCATTCGACAAACATTTAATGAGCATGTATGAACCAGGTACGGTTCTTCACAGCAGAGATACAGGACAGAAAAGGACAGACAGGAGCCCTTGGCCCTGAGGTTTCCGTTCTAGGGACCTTGAAATCTCGGACTCTCAGAACTAACAGAGACCTTTGATGCTCTACCTCCTCCAGAAACAGGAGCCCAAGGAGGAGAGGTGGCTTGTCCAGACTCAAGGAGCAAATTAGGGACTGAGTCAGGACAGAAATACGGGGTCCTTGACAACCAGTCAGACTAGTACTTCCCTGAGAGGTGACAACCCCAGGGCGTGTGTGGCAAGGACTGGAGCAGGGGTGTCTGAAGAAGAGAGAGTTGGCAAAGAGGGCAGCGACAGAAGAGCCATGCTGCATGCTCCTTGTTCTGGGGTTCCCCCAGGTGAGGACTGGGTGCTCCAGCTCCCCATTTGCCCTTGGCACCAGAGGCCCTCCGCCCCTTTCTTCAGAGCCCCAAGGGGAAACTAAAGCCCAGGATTGGCAGCATGGAATCAGGGGACCCCAATGGACTCTTACCAATGATTCTGTTTCCATAGAGTTGATTGATGGTTGCGGAGCTTGAGTCCAGGGCTACTGCTAGTTCTTGGTTCCGGCTCTGATGCACATGCACAGAGGAGGAGTAGGAGGAGGATTGCGGGGAGAGGTAGAGAGAACAATCATTAGGGCTGGGGTGTGTGTGGGCTGTCTCAGCTGGTAGAGGGGCACCCAGCTCCCGCTGTGAGAGGAGGTTGGAGGACTGGCCTGCAGGGTCACTGCGCCTCGGCCCAGGGCCTCTTGCCTCCAGATCCTTCAGGGTAGCAGATGATGCAGGGGTAATAGAAATGAGAAATTAAAAAAGAAAAAAAAAAACCTTACAGGGAAACAGTTATGGATATAGAGAAAGTATAAAAACAGCAAAGGGCCGGGCATGGTGGCTCATGCATGTAATCCCAGCACTTTGGGAGGCTGAGGCAGGTGGATCACTTGAGATCAGGAGTTCAAGACCAGCCTGGCCAACATGGTGAAACCCCATCTCTACTAAAAATTCAAAGATTAGCCGGGTGTGGTGGCAGGTGCCTGTAATCCCAGCTACTCAGGAGGCTGAGGCAAGATAATCGCTTGAACCCGGGAGGGAGAGGTTGTAGTGAGCCGAGATCACACCACTGCACTCTAGTCTGGGTGACAGAGTGAGACCCTGTCTCAAATAAAATAAAATAAAGCCCCAAATCCCACATGTCTGCTCTGTACATTATTCCCAAATTACTTTTAAACTTTAAGGTATGTCTCACCATTTCCAAGATAATAAAAGATGCAGGGAAGGAAAAAACCCAATCAATCAAACAGGTGAAGAAGAAGACATAAACAGGCTGAAGGTTAATGGCAGCAAAATAAAATAAGCCAGAGGCAAAGTATCCCCCAAACCGGAGAAGCCTCAGGGGCATGCACAGCTGGAGAGAGCAAGCCAGAGAGGGGTCCTGGCACTGCCTCACCTTCCACTTGTGCAATGGGGAGCACTACCCCACTGGAATGGTTAAGGTTGGACACCAGCACCTTCAGAATGTCCTGAATCTATAGGAGGTGACAAGGGGAAAACAAGGGCAGGGGGAGAAAGACAGAAGTGGCTTAGAGAGAAGCAAGAAAGTCAGGGTAGGAGGAAGATGTGGGTTCAGGAAAACGAAATGCTGAGGAAGAGCAGAGGAGATTAAAACCATGGCCTGTGCCATTCTTCCAAATGGCCACCTGCTGCCTTGCCAGGGGCAGGAACAAATAGATGGAAAAGTCCGCTGAGCGATGCAGTCAGAGTGGAGTCACCTGACCAATGCAGCTCTTAACACACTCACTGGACCCCTCTCCTCAGTCCCAGGATGTGGGCGATGACTCTGGTAATGCTCCAGACCTCCACCTCCATTAATAAAACCAGACTTCTGAGTAAGGGTTCACTTGAACTAAGGGGGCTCCAGCTAAAAAGCAAGTTTGAAAGACACTGATCTTATCCAGTATCATCTTACAGAGGAGGAAACTGAGGCCCAGGGGAAGAAGTGATTTTTCTGTGGTCACCCAGCAAGCTGGTGGCAAGTTAGATCTTCTCTTACCCCTAGTGCCTGGGGTTTCCTCGCCACACACTGGAGCCCCCTTTGGTGACTCCTAAAGGGACAGCCTGATGGCAAGTGACTGTGCTCACTGGCCCAGGTTCCCCTTGAGACTGGGGATGAGGAAAATCAAACAGCAATGACCATTTCCTGGGTGTCCTGGGTGTTTACAGCAGGCCATGTACTAAAGATTAACATAAAAACAATAAGAAATCTCATTTAAACTTCACAAATGGAAGTCAAACAATACTACCCCTATTTTACAGATGTGAAAAGAGAGGCCCAAAGAGCTCAAGCAATTTGCCATAAATCAGATTCCTAACAGATGGAGAGGGAGGATTCAAACCCAAAATTCTTAACCAGTACCCGGCAATCTTAACAATTACCCTCTACTGCCCCTTGGACCCCCTGTACCCAGGAGCCTGGCCAGCCAAGACTCACATCCCCAGGTGAGTGGCAACCACCAGAAGTGGTTGTCTCAGGGCTACGGCCAGTTTTTTTCTTTTTCATCTGCCGGAACACCAGGGCTGTTCCTCTGCTGATATTCTTTTAGCTGTGGGAAAGAAGAGCAGTCATACTCATGAGGACTACCAGCCCCTACAGCCACATCCTCCTTTACAGTTTTTACAAAATACTCCTATACACCATCTGATTTAATGCCACCAACAACTGTACAAGGTGTTGTCACAATAACTTAGTGACTGAGAGGGATTGATATTATGGCTAAAAAAAAAGTCGGGGGGTGGCAATAATGGAACTTAAATTCAGTCTTCTGACTCCAAGCTCTGGGATTTTGCCACGATTCAGCAGCTTCCAGGGACCAAAACCAGAAGCAGAGGTAGAAAAGTAAACATTAAGTAGGCAGGAACTGTACGCTGTGTGGTTTAGTCATACATCCTCACACATCTGTTAGTGTGAAGAAGTACACCAGTACCTCTCAAATTTTATGTCAATGTGTCCTCATGGCAGAAGGCAGCTTTTTTGTTAAATCTGGGAATTTATCAGAAAGAGGACACCCAGGCCTCATTTCAGAGAGAAGTCTGGTATACTCTTAGAAACGTATGTGACAGTCATCCCTAAGTACATTAATGTTTTTTCTCTCTCAAGAGAATCAAGGGAAACTGATGCTTCAGAAAGATCTCCCACATTTATCCTGTGGCACTCAAAGTACCCAGGTTGAGATATGAGGAAGATTCAAGCTGTCAAGTTCAGTTTCCCAAGATCTATTCCACAGAAGATGAGCAAATCTCACTTCAGAGATCACTGACTGAAGGGCAGTCTGGTCCCAGAACCATGGAGAAAGAATATGAGGTGGAGAACTCAGAAAGTAATGTTAAAGTCTCCCTGGAGAGTAGAAGCCTGGGAGAAAACCAACCCAAACCTGTTCTCCCATTGCCGCCCAGAGACACTGTCAACGTTTTGAGCTCATGGGTGAAGTGTAGGCTTTTCACATTGTCAATGTCTATATGAAGGGAGTAAGGCAGCCTGAAACCTGTTGCTCCTAGGTCCTGTAGTCCCCATTCCCCTTCTAGCTGGAAATTTGTGCTGCAACCAGAGCGTAAGATCAAAGGCCGGTCTTGCAGCAGTAATGACAGTTCCTAGGGGGACTGTGACATCACTACATTCCACTCCTCCTAGGGTAGGGGGAACCACATCAGTGCAATGGCTGAGTCGCTGATCAATGATGGGGGAGGGGGACATAGGGCTGGGACCCAGCTCCTTGGAGATGCCAGCCCAAGGAACCGAGGGAGGTTGGGCTTGGGTCAGCAGGAGAGGAGAGCAGAGTCTACAGCAGGGAACCCCAGGAATCACCAGCCCAAAGTCACCCAGGGATGACTGGCAATGGGCGGGTGTTGGGGCTGCAAGACCCAGGTTCTTGGTGAGGTGAGCCCAAAGAACCCAGGGAGGTCGGGCTTGTGGCAGCAGGGCGTGAGGGCCGAGTATGGAGTGGGGAGCCCCAGGAGTCACCCGTCCAAAGTCACCCTGGAGTGACTGGAGAGGGCAGGAGCTGGGCTGCTTGCTGAAGGGGTGGGGCTAACTCCTGAGACTTTGGTGCGGGGAGCCCAGAGATGCCGGGGTGGAGGGACCCAGCCCAGTGTGCCTCAGGAGTGGTATGGACTCTGGCAGAGGTCTGGTCATTGGAAGGGATCTCTGGCTGGGTTGAGGGGCCAAGACCTGGTTCGTTTTACCTTTTTCTTGGCTGCTCCCAATTTGCTCTGACAAGTTTCTTCTAACATCACAGGGTTGGGAGGGAGGCAGGGTTGGGGCCACATCAGCAAACACCTCCAGTTATCTACCAGGCAGCTGTGTGACTGAGCCAGAGGAGGGGTAACCAGGGCCCCACTAGAACACAGAATAGGGGCGTGGCCTTAATGCTCCAAGCCCATTGGTCAATGAGAAAGATGAAAGGGAAAGGAGGTGTGGCTAGGCAGCAGTGTGTCCAGAGGAACCTGTGGCATCACAAGGAAAACTGCCTCTGCAACTGCTGTCCCCACCCACTTGTGGAGAGGGGCGGGGCCTGCTTAATCCAGGAGATGGGATGGGCTGCCCATTCCAGGAGAGGAGAGGGGCCAGCTTTTGCTTTAAAACTTTAAAAATAAACTTCAAAAAATATATGTGTTTATTCTGTGTACATATGTGTATCTCTGTGTGTGTGTCCACATGTTCCTCAGTGCTGTCTTCATTATCCAGCTTCTATGCATGGTCTATGATTTTGGCCTACATTTTTCATCTTCAAATGGAGTACAATAATTACCAGTATTACCTCAACTGAGACACAAATCCTATAAAAATGGAAAATCCATAGTATGTTTGATGATTAATGAAGGAGGCTATATTATCCAACATTCCAATAAGGTAAAATAATCACAATGATTTCTCTCTTTTGGAAAAACATTTTTCTTATTCTCCTACATTATTAAGATTTTTTTTAAAACAAGAAACATGTCTAATATCTTTAAAAACACAAAGCTTTTGGGCTGGGTGCTGTGGCTCACCTTAGGTCAGGAGTTCAAGACCAGCCTGGCCAAAGTGGTAAAACCCCATCTCTACTAAAAATACAAAAACTAGCCAGGTATGGTGGTGGGTACCTGTAATCCCAGCTACTCGGGAGGCTGAGGCAGGAGAATCACTTGAACCCGGGAGGCGGAGGTTGCACTGAACCAAGATCAGACCACTGCACTCCAGCCTGGGTGACAGAGCGAAACTCCATCACCAAAAAAATAAAATAAAATAAAGAAAAACACAAAATTTTCAATTTAATAAGCACTCAAAGCTCTTTTCCATTTTAAAGCAAATACAAGGCCTCTTTTTCTAGAATCACCTGGCCTCTCTAAACCTTGCAAATGAAACTAAATTTCTCACTTGATACTTGGCTATGACTTATAGTCATGAAAACCAAGAACTGTGTTATGTCACTGTGTATTGCTTGTACCTGAATTCCACACTAGGCTGGGATCAAGGGTTGAATCTTTCATGATTTGCTCCATAACCTGTGAGCTTCTTTTCCCACACCAAACTAAGCTATTTCCTAGAGTTCTACAATTTACAGTTAGTAGACAAGAGTGGCTCTCAGTAATGTAGTCTCTGGACTAGCAGCACTAGCAGAACCTGAGAACTTTTTATAAGTGCAAATTCTCAGGCCCCACCCTGGACCTGGTGAATCAGAAACTCTGGAGTAGGGCTCAGCAATCTGTGCTGCAGTAATCCCTCCAGATGTTCAAGAACCTCTGGCATATAGTAGGTAGAAAAATGTGTTTCCTTCTGTAGATCCAAAGCCAGGGATACCAAATGTTCTGTCTTGACATGAAAGAATGACATACAACTAAAAGACATAAATCTCTTTCCTACTCCCACCCTCCATCCAATGTGTTTTATTTTTATGAGTTAAATAAGAAAAAAGTGGCATTCAGAGATTCAGTCTAAAAAGTATATTTACAAGTGTCAGTTCTCATCCAGCCTGATCTCATACAATACGATTTACACCCTCTTACCTCTCAAGTTTTAAAAACGTATCTTCACAACGTAAGTCACAGGCACACTAGCAGTTCTATAATAAAACACCAAGTAGATCAGAATGTCCAAACTTACTAGAGAAGAAAAGTGGAATCGTTGGCTATATTTTCAAATTGCATTCAACAGGAAATGTAAGTTTTGGATTCTTTTCACCTTCATACTTCCAAGTTAATAGAATTAAACCAGAATACTCCATTCTTTCACAGCCTCTAGCCAGGCAAAGTTTTACTGTATTACTTCTTGCTTTCAATGGGTATAAAGCAGAGGCCTGGTAAGCACATTCTGTATACCTGCAAAAATGCGGAACTAAACACTTCTATCTGTTCAATATTAAAACAAAGGTCCTGTAAACCCCGGATGGTGAATGTAATACTTCAGCACTAGCACCCATGCCTCAAATATGAAAAGATACCAAGAACACCACTAGCAAACAAAATGAGCTCTTGGCCGGGAGTAGTAGTTCACACCTGTAATCCCGGCACTTTGGCAAGCCAAGGTGGTAGTATCACTTTAAGTCAGGAGTTCAAGACCAGCCTGGGCAGCATAACGAATTCACATCTCGACAAAAAGTTTTAAAAATTAGCTGGGCATGGTGGCACACACCTGTAGTCCTAGCTACTTGGGAGGCTGAGGTAGGGAAATTGCTTCAGCTCAGGGGTACCAGGCTGTGGTAGCTATGATCATGCCACTGCACTCCAGCCTGGGTGACAGAGCAAGATCTAGATAATTACAGTCTGTCCTGCTCCTGTTTACATTAAAATCACTAAGTTAAAATGCTTTCAATCACCAAGATAAAAATTAAGTGAATTGTGACTTTGGAGGTTGGCCAGTAAATAGGCAATGGAAAACAGCCACTTTCCACAGGAATAAAAATGGCCAATAAGCATATAAAAAAGATTCAAGGCTGGTGCGGTGGCTCACGCCTGTAATCCCAACACTAGGAGGCCGAGGCGGGTGGATCACCTGAGGTCAGGAGTTCAAGACCGGCTTGACCAACATGGTGAAACCCTGTCTCTACTAAAAAATATAAAAATTAGCCAGGCATGGTGGTGGGCACCCGTAATTTCATTTACTTGGGAGGCTGAGGCAGGAGAATGGCTTGAACTCAGGAGATGCAGGTTGCAGTGAGCCAAGATCACACTGTTGCACTCCAGCCTGGGCAATAGAGCAAGACTCCATCTAAAAAAGAAAAAAAAAAAAAAAAGAAAGAAAGAAAAGAAAAATTGAAAGCACTAGAAACCAAAGAAATGTAATGAAAACAATGAGATTTTCTGCTTAAATACCAGCAAAGAGGGCAAATGGAAGGGGGAAACTGGAGCTCTGCTCCTGTTGGTGGCAGTATAAACTGAACCAATTTTTCTGCAGGATAATTTGAAAATTTCTTAAAAATCCTCAAACTGTTTTATATGTTATTTTCCTCCAGAAATTCTACTTCTATGAATTCAGTCCAAAAATGCTTGCTCAAGTCCATTAGAATATATATATATATAAAAGACAACTTACTTCAGGGGTGGCAATGATTAGCTTAATATATACATCGAGCTTTTAAAACAGATGATGCCGAGGATATATTTACTGCCATAGAAATATGCCCACAACATAGTGACAAAAGACTATATATTATGATTCTACTTTTAAAAATGTTTATACCCATAAAGAAATATAAAAAGCAACAAACCAGAATGTTTTGAGTGGCAAAATTAAAGACTTTTCTTCATATTTTGTCTTCCGAATTATTACAAAAAGAATGCGATTTTCTTTATATTCAGGGAGAAGTATTATTTCATCTACTTATGTTTAAATTTCTTTTCTTTTCCTTCTTTTTTCTCAGGTATGTATCACATGTACTCTAGAGAGCTTGAATCCCTACCTCTTGAGGTAAATCAGACCATTTCTGTCTCTATCAACTTGCCTTTTTTGGACATTTCAAAGCAATGGAATTATACAATATGTGGTCTCCTGTCTGGTTTTTTTTACTTAGCTAATGTTTTAGAGGTTAGTCCATGACGTATAACAGGTTTTAGTAGTTTGTTTCTTTCATTACTGAGTAGAAGTTCATTGATGGATATACCACATTTTGTCAGCAGAGAGCCTTTTAAACTTCGATTTCAATTTCCTGTGATCTAAACGAACCCCTTGGAACACAAGACTTCTAGGGAAAGCTGCTGTGCATGTCAAAATAACTACTTATCAGAACCAGCTTTGTCATCAGGAGCCTGAACTGCTGCAGAGATTTTTATAATTTTGCAACTTCTTTTTTACAAGCAACTTTTGTTCTACTACACATCAGGACTTTTGAAGCATCTGATACATCCATCGAATAAGTATGAGTGTGTGTCTAAGTGGACAAGTGAAACCATCTATGCTACACTGCATATTTTTTCCTGCCCCAGACTGGACCAGGGAATCTCTCAGTTTTCTAGAGTACCCTGTCTCCACTGACAAAGCTGAACAGTATTAAAGACCCTGCTGCCTTCGTTAGGGAGATTTGGAGGGGAGGCCCAGCAGCAAGGGTGGAGAGGAAAAAGAGAGGGGAGCTTGTGGAACAGGAAGCCCCCCGGGGTCCGCACATGGCTCCCCGCTGTGGAGGATGTTGTGGATGGGGAAGTGCTGATGGTGTCCTGAGGCAGCCTAGCACCTCCACTGGGCCCAGAAGGTCTTGACTTTGGACCCTTACCCATGTTCCAGAAGTGTTTAAAAGTTGTTTTTGCTTTTGTTCTTTTCCTAAATGATCATTACTTGGTAGTTAGTTATTAATCTTTCTCTGGGAGAGGGACGGGGCTTTAAAACTGAAGAACATAATTTTCATTAAAATATCAAAAATGGAAAAAAGTTACTTTGTAAACAATTTGCTATGCAAATCAAATGGCAACTGTTGAGAATCTCAATAAAATGTTAAATGCATTTGCTGCCATTAAAAGAAATAAAGAAAAAAAATTTAGAATAAAGAAAAAAATGCATTTGCTGGCAGTGGTACCATTTGCCCAAGTTTGGGTCGCTGTGTCATCATACTGTGGTGGGGGTATGTGTCGTGTATATGTGTGAAACTTTTCATCTCAGGATGGATCATAACCTTAGCTGCAGTTTTCCTTCCAAATAGGGTTACTAAGTAGAATATGGGCTTGGAAGTGACAGACCTGAGTGAACCAGCCCAGCTTAAAGAAAAATCCAATAAAACTAACTTTTAACAATCCTGAGGTTGGTTTTTGAAACAATAGATACAATGATTTACTCTAAGCAGCTGATTATGATTTTGAATCAGTAATACATACTGTCTCAACCCTTTTTGTTTCCAA